CCGTTGAACATATCTCACAGTATTGTTTACAGCACTACAGTCAAATTTAACGAGAACTTAATACTAGCACACATCAAAGGTTATTGAAATAAAAGTTTTAATAATTTGAGGAGGAATAACACATTTCTCTTGACTCACGAAAAGTTCTAATCGGGGTGGGGTGGAGACTGCTCGGTAAAACAGTGTTCTCTACCAAACGGAAAAGTAAACTAGAAATGTTCACAAAACTTTCCTGTGGAGTAAAGCGAAATAATAGTTCGTCGAAACGAAACTCTTAATTTTCGATTGCATTATATCGTAACTGACAGATTATTGGCCTTAACGGATGTTAAAATGGCGTCGTACCGGGTTCAAATCTCGTCCCGGAGACCGGCCATTTTCACTTAGATTTTCTGTGATTTTCCTCAGGCCTTGCATGAAAATTGAGGGACAGTAACTTAAATTAGGCCAAGACTGCTTTCTTCTATATCCTTGCAAATTCATTAATCCTGTCACTCGCGGCTATATTATGAGCTACAATGTCGTTAAACAAGCACATAAGTATAGCAGCTCTGCTCAAAATAAATTGAACTTACTCTGGCTGTTAAAATATAATTAAGCATATATCTAAATATTCGTTTCATGGGGGAACATTAATATTGAAGAACAGACATTAATACAGATATTATAAACAAATATGTAGCGGTGATATCTGACTTACCTCATTTTTTGATTAAATTGTCCACTCGGGCAGTCGGTCTCCTTCCAGCGGTCTCAACCTCTGTACGGACTGTCATTAGAAAGGAGATGTCGAAGTGAAAGCCAGGAACCGGAAATGATAGGAGGGAGGGGATGAAATCGCTTACAGAACGTGGCACATGGATTGGAATAGAAGAATAAACATTCTGAAGATGAAGATTTCTGTCTTCTGGGTGGTTGCGCTGTGTAGTCTGGTCGATGTTTACCGACGTTTCAGAGGTCATACTGCGTCCGTCATCAGGGCGATTCTTAGTACGAAGATTTCTGTCTTCTGGGTGGTTGCGCTGTGTAGTCTGGTCGATGTTTACCGACGTTTCAGAGGTCATACTGCGTCCGTCATCAGGGCGATTCTTAGTACGAAGATTTCTGTCTTCTGGGTGGTTGCGCTGTGTAGTCTGGTCGATGTTTACCGACGTTTCAGAGGTCATACTGCGTCCGTCATCAGGGCGATTCTTAGTACGAAGATTTCTGTCTTCTGGGTGGTTGCGCTGTGTAGTCTGGTCGATGTTTACCGACGTTTCAGAGGTCATACTGCGTCCGTCATCAGGGCGATTCTTAGTACGAAGATTTCTGTCTTCTGGGTGGTTGCGCTGTGTAGTCTGGTCGATGTTTACCGACGTTTCAGAGGTCATACTGCGTCCGTCATCAGGGCGATTCTTAGTACGAAGATTTCTGTCTTCTGGGTGGTTGCGCTGTGTAGTCTGGTCGATGTTTACCGACGTTTCAGAGGTCATACTGCGTCCGTCATCAGGGCGATTCTTAGTACGAAGATTTCTGTCTTCTGGGTGGTTGCGCTGTGTAGTCTGGTCGATGTTTACCGACGTTTCAGAGGTCATACTGCGTCCGTCATCAGGGCGATTCTTAGTACGAAGATTTCTGTCTTCTGGGTGGTTGCGCTGTGTAGTCTGGTCGATGTTTACCGACGTTTCAGAGGTCATACTGCGTCCGTCATCAGGGCGATTCTTAGTACGAAGATTTCTGTCTTCTGGGTGGTTGCGCTGTGTAGTCTGGTCGATGTTTACCGACGTTTCAGAGGTCATACTGCGTCCGTCATCAGGGCGATTCTTAGTACGAAGATTTCTGTCTTCTGGGTGGTTGCGCTGTGTAGTCTGGTCGATGTTTACCGACGTTTCAGAGGTCATACTGCGTCCGTCATCAGGGCGATTCTTAGTACGAAGATTTCTGTCTTCTGGGTGGTTGCGCTGTGTAGTCTGGTCGATGTTTACCGACGTTTCAGAGGTCATACTGCGTCCGTCATCAGGGCGATTCTTAGTACGAAGATTTCTGTCTTCTGGGTGGTTGCGCTGTGTAGTCTGGTCGATGTTTACCGACGTTTCAGAGGTCATACTGCGTCCGTCATCAGGGCGATTCTTAGTACGAAGATTTCTGTCTTCTGGGTTGTATTCGCCCGGATGATGGCGGCAGCAAGGCCTTTTTGACACATTAGAATGTCGACCAAAGGAAAGAGAATTTAATTGATATAAGAGACAGGAAAGAATGCACAAAAAAGAAAAGCAGAACATTTATTTATAATTATCACCATCATCATTCGTGTTATTTACATTTATTTACTCATTTATTCTTGAGTGTAACTTTCGATTTAAAACAATTCTCCCAGACTCTTGACAGAAGCTGGTGATATGTAACTGATTGTGCCACAATTTGTATTACTATTGGTTTTCTGAAATTCAGAATATTACTTATTGAAATTTAAACTAAAATTACCAAAAATCTTGCACATTTAATAACACTTAATAATTTTATAACTCTTCTATAAAGCAATAAATTAGTTATGTACTTTCTACATAGTCCTGTAATGCCATATTTTGTTCTGTTAACGTCCATATATGACTGAAAAGAACACTGTAACCCGGGCTTTATGACGTCAACAGATGAACAGTGATTTTAATTACACGTTATGACTCAAAGCGATTATTTATTTTGAAAATACGCTGGTCTATTCTTAAAAAGCTTTTCCCGAGATTGTGTATTAGAACAGTATGTTGTAAATTATTAATGTGTGCATATCAATACAGCTATACGAGACACACTGAAAAAAAAGTCCGGTGTTCTGCGACCCGACTACCTGGTTTCACTACTTGTGAGTCTCTAAGACAGTGATTCATCATGGCGGACAGCTTGGAACGTAATTATAACCAACAACACTGCATTAACGGCAGTTTAAGGGACACTACAAAGAACGGATGAAATAAGGAACATTAGTGACGGGAATAAAAGTTGCATTTAACATGAAAACGAAACTGTCTTCAACGTGTAATATTATTAGTCTATCGTGGAATTTGGACTAAAAATTTAAGAACAGTTAAAGTTTTTACGGCCTAATGATCAGAATCAAACTACGTTTGCTTTAACTCAGTGCATAATAGTTTAGTTACAAGTTTGTTGTAGATTGACAGTGTTAATTAAAGATTTTAAGAAATGATTACCATGTAAAATGCCTTCTCATATCGATTTAAAACTTTTAAATTAACACAAAAGTACCCTGCATATATATATGTATATATGACAACACCGCCATATTAAGACGCAGTCAGCCAATCACGTGCTACAGACAATAAACAGCGACCAAACGCTCTGGTACCGCCCTAAAACGTTTCTGGGGGTTGTTATTAATTTTCACGGAATTAAAACAACCAAGTCTACGTCATAATATAAATTATGGCAGTGGAATTTGGCCTTCCTTTACTTTCAATATGACTAGTTTCTTTTTTTGTAATCATATTAATTACAACATATATATATATACATATTGTGATAATTTTGTACATTTTTTCTTTTTAAATTGCAGTCGTTGTTAATATCCTACATATATTATTGTTACTACAGTAGTCCTACAGCGGTGTCTCCTCTTTAACGTTAAAATAGTGTTATATACACATATCACGTGTAGGCTTAAGGAAACTATGACAAAACATCGTGTTTCTTATGATTTGCTCTACTGTTAAGTAATCATTTATATCACATTGGTACTTATGATGGGAGACAGATTTTGTGGAATACTTAAAAGATACAATTAACTATATATATATACGTATTCGACTTTCTTCATTCTAATATCGCAGATGCATAAACAGTTATGACACCCATAAATTCTGTTCCAATAATATTATATATACAACTGGTTCATCCACTTTGAAACTTGTAGTGTTATTTCTTTACATTTTAGTCTAACTACGATAGGTATAAAAATGAAGTAGTTCGTTTTTAGTCAGTCGACAGATTTGAAGACACGCTAAACACTGAGTCTGTGCTACACCTGTTTAGAAGAAACACGCAGTGAGGCTAACGATTTTCAGTATTCATAATACGTTATAAAAATGTCTTCATTAATACGCATTTTCACTTTCTTCGTTCAGATTCGAAATATTATTGTACAGCAAAGTTCATATAATAGGCCTAAGTAATTCAATATTATTTATACCACCATACGAAATATTTCAAAAACTTAAAAAAAAAAGTGTCTCACACACATACAAAATTACCGTGATGCACAACTTTGAAAATTAATAAATGTCATTGCTTTTAGAACCATTTAAATGATAACAGCGCACAAAACAGTTCTCGTGTTTTCTTACATGTTACAGGCCAATTAGACATGTATTCTGAGGCACTACCTATAATAATTTATTCATAGAAATTGGGATTAAATGTTTTGGGGAGTGATATCTCCATTCCATCCTCGTCGTCTAAGGCATGGTAATTTATTGTTTTTCGCCCCATTATGTTTATGACCTTTGACAGAAAATGTTACGGTGAGTATATGAAATGGTTCCAAGTTAAGCTATTACGTCATCTTCTGTTTCTTGAGTAGGTCTCAGGTACAGGCTTCATAGAGCTAAAAGCCACAGTTAATCACCCGGATTAAAAACTCCTATGAAGTGATAAAATGCATCAAGATTAAATTTAAGCATTAATTTGTGTCCTTACGTTTGGTCTCAGTACTTCTCACGACTTATACGTAATGGTAGAGTTTATTATTTACGTTGCTACATTCATATTTGCTGTTGTTGTTGATGAAGAATAACCATCCAGTGCAAATCAGTTATAGAATTTTACAGTCCAACTAATTTCAACCTTAGGCTCATCATCATCAGTTTTACGCGTATTAATCGTGACTTAATTTAGGTTTTGTCCGCAAAACTAATTTTAACAAGGCTGTGTAGGTACAAGATATTAAAATATATTATCAATCATCATAGCAAAATGCATTTTACTGTATATAATGATAACATTGTCGATATCATGCATTTCATTATGGTGATTGATATTAATATTGGTATTAAAGAGTAAATTGTTAAATTCGGTTTTACAGGAAATAACCTGAATTAAGACAACTGCTTTTGGAACGTTGCACTGAGTAGTTTGGTTAAAACTAACCGGTTTTGGAGGAACTTGCTGTCTTCGTAATCAGGCACTGATCATCATGAATATATCGCGCGCCACGAAAAACTTAAAATCTAACATGAGTGAGCTTAAGAAAGTCTATTGAATAAAAATTTACTTGGATATTATCCATCGTCTAGTGATAAAACGTACGTTTTTTACGTTTTATTACTAGACGATGGATAATATCCAAGTAAATTTTTATTCAATTGACTCTTCACCATCGTCAAGAAGTTTTAGATTTAAGAAAGTCTGATGATAAATTCAGGGTTAGAAGTAATTTGAATGGCAAAGAATTATATCAGCGTTGAATTGGATGGTTATATCACACGAACGTAAATGTGGTGGTATGAAACTCAATGTAAAAAAATAATTCTTGTAGATTTCCAACCGTTCACTATGGCGAGTTATGAAACGTCCACTCAATGCGAGGCGGGCGAAATTATCGTTGTAGAAGATTTTCTTGTGATTCTCCCTTCAGTTTTATTCAGTTACTCCCCTTCTGTATGTTCTTATTTAAGCTTCCTTTCCCAGGTTTAAAAGATAGCGATGCAGAATCATTTAACAATCAGTTTTATTATATGAGGAGTGAATTAAGATACTGTGAATCCTTGCACGAAGACCAGACTTGAATATGCAGCAGCCTTGTTTACGTACACCCAACAGTATAGCCACCGTTCACGCACAATTTCTGTTAAATGGTTCACGTATCTATTAAACTTTCTCTATTTCTTGTATAATTCCACATAATTATTACTTTGTCTAATTACGTCATAATTACGAACGTTTGTCATCGAATGGTAGTATTCCGTTTTTAGCAGTATCAAAATTGATCAAGTATTTCAAATGAATTATTTCTAATTGTATTTTTTCCACTCGAATTATTTTTTTAAAAAGAGAATCTTTTGAAATAGTTAATTTTCCTTTGGCATTTCGTTCATCAAAACAGTAGCAATTTTGTTTAATAACGCTTGACAATATGACAGGATGTGTAAAGTTATGTATCTTAACTGTTCAACACAATCTAGAATTCGACATTTTACAAACGCATATGTCGAAATTCTCTACATCGGAAATGATGTAAGTCCTCATCAGTAAATTTCATTCGCGTATTATTCGGGGCTCTCACCAAAATTTTCAGATTTATTCTAGGTTTCGTTCAATTCGTGTGTATGTGTGTTTATTTCGCCTCACCGAGTCAGGCCAACAATTTTCACAACCGTAGTTTTACAATGTAAATAAAGCGATTTCATAAAGGCTCCAATATTCTTAGACATTACCATTCCTTTAATATTTTCACTGTTGGTATTTGTAACTGACATGGTATGTCCTTTGTAAAATATGCAATTCTAGAAGTTGTATTAAGTTTATGGAAAAAGTAATTTCTTATTTTAAAACGGAACACTAGCGCCAGATCGGAGAATTGCACAAACGTATCTCAGATATAAAAAAAAATCTTCCAAAGGACGTAAGCTTGGAAATGTTTCGAAGGTATATGTCATCGTACATGTATCCTCAAAATGTTTCAAATACTCTACAGTGCAAACGAAATTTTCTATCGATCTTATACCCCAATTGTGTGAAACCTATGCAGAATCATAATTTATGTAGTTTCTGTGTTGCTCTGTAATATGTTACAGGGATCTTTTAAGGAAACAATATTGCTGCGAAGGGACACAAAATAAGTTTTAGGGTCGAGGTTTTATATACACAGCTCATTACACCCTAAATTTTATGAAAACAATTATAACCAGCCAAGATACGTAACCAGTCTGGTCATACGACGCCTAGGTCTCCAGGCTGAACCTGGAGCGCCTCGCCAGAGGACTCTGACGCCACCGATCATGTAACAGGCGCGTATCCAAGGTTTTTCCTCTGCAGAAACAGATGAATCTCCCTGAAGCTGGGTCTCTCGGTTTCGTGGCGACGCCAACATTCGCACATGAGGTCATAAATGTCCTTCGTGCACGGTGGCGCTGGTGGTCGTGGTAGGTAGACGAACTGGCCATCATCACGGTGCATGTGAGCCAAGTTTTCCACTACTTGTGGGTCTGTTAGTGTTTCGAACGGAATTCGGCGACCTAGGTTCAGGATCTCCCACAGAGTCACGGCAAACGCCCATACGTCACTCTTTGTAGTGTATTTACCCTGAAGATAAAAGTTGTGTGTTATCGAAGGTATAATGGTCATACATCTTGTCATGTGGATGACGCCACAATTGTAGGAAATTTATAACGATTCTGGTGGTGAATAAAAAGGAATTTGACTATGGATTCTACTACACGACTCGAATTGCTATTCAGAACTGAAAATGAAACAGGCAGATGTTTTCAGCATGGCGTGGCCAAGACTTCCACAGGAATCGTGACGAGCCACTCGTACGAAATCGTTGTTTGCCCATATTTATAATTCTGTATAATTCGAACAGGTTCCAAGCGAAATTTTAATTCACTGTATGTACGTATATTACATGTCACAGCAAACAGAATAACAACAAATGGGATTCAATTCAATATCGTAACTACCGTTATATTTGATTCTCGTCAGGGTATTCTGAAAATAATTTATTACGAACTACACTTTCCACTGACTCTGAAATCAGCTTTTCGAGTAACATGAATAATGGTTTCTTTTCACCTTTCCTAACCAAGTTTTGTTACAAAAGAAATTGCCTCTTCAAGTCATCCTTGATAACCCAGACGTCCCAGATGTGTTCGACATGAGAAGAAGGGTTGAACCTATAAACTGTCTTATAAAATATGCCTCTGACTCATCTCATTTGTATTACTGCTACGATGTCTCCATTACAGACCTTAAAAAGTTGTTCCCACTAACCTGACGTCATTGGCCTCTCTTCGATACGTAAAATTTAGAAGCTGAATCACAAAAATAGAATAAGCGTAATGTGCTGCCTCCATCATCAGGGCAATAATGGTGGAGGCAGCAAGTACCTCTGAAACTTCGATTACTTCTACAAGACTACACGGCGCTACAAACCAGAAGACATACATCTTCATTTACATTCGATTTCCTAACTTATTTTAGATACGTTTATAAAGTAACGTGTATTGAATTTCTGTCCAAAAATGTCCTCATTATCAAATTCTGCGATTCAAAGGCACGTGTTTAGTTTTATTAAAGGTTAATCTGTAATTGTACCGAGTGGAGCAGCAGCTAACGACTAATTAATATCCAGCCCATTACCCAAAGTGAAATAAATTACTTTATCTTACAAACTGTTAACCCTGCACTGTACTTAGTATGCAGGTACACTCTCTTATTTGCATCAGTTCTCGCCTTCTTTACTAGACAGTGGCTTTTATTTTGATCAACTAAGTGCGGGACTGCCTAACCGCATTAAGTAAGGGAATGTGATAAAGTCAGTCACATAATTTAAATTTCCGCTACGCACAACAAAATAGTTCTCTGTGGAACGTGTTAATAATATCCTAACGCATATTCTGTAAGGAACACATCGTAATTTCCAACATTGGCACAATCTTATTTTTTTTATTTATATTTATTTTTTTAGTGTTCTGTCTGACGACAGGTCCATATGAACAGGATCCTTCCATCCTTTTCTCGGACTGGGACCTGTTCATATACGTTCTTGGCAGATGATCCAGAAGTGGTTTGCCATTGCCTTCTTCTGTGTGTGAATGGAGTAATTGTTGGGATGCCACGGAGGAACCGGGGAAGCCCCCGGAGGAAAACTCCGTGTTGCCTAGACCACGGCCTCGCCCAACACAAGTTATAAATTCGGGCATCGCCGGGAATCGAACCCGATACCTCAGGATTACAAGGCCAGCGGTCTAACCGCTCATACTTTAATGTTTTACCGATATTTTTTGAACGAATTTTAAATTTCTTTACAAGTTACGCTATATTACCTTTTCAAAATGACTCTGCTCAAAGGGACTGATTATGTCATAAAAGTGACTTATTCTACGGGACATATGTTACTTACCTGGAAAATAGACTCCCAGGCCATCCAACGGATTGGCAACGCCATGGCGCCATCTACCTTGTAGTAGTCACCAGCGTAGAGCTCATTGTCTGTCCCGAAGTCAGATATCTTAATCTGATACGCCTTCCCCACTAGACAGTTCCTGCACACAAACACTCTCTACCAAATTGTGCAGTGGTGACCAGATCACTCTGGAGTACAGACACATAAGAACTGTGGTCGTGTCACGATATGAGAATCCCTGGAATTAGCTTTCACGTCTCTCCGCCTCAAAACATCATTGGGAAACCGTCACGTGTTTGTCAGTCCTGCCGCTGGACGCCACAGTGTGTATCAATCCGCTGCAATTTTCTGAACGTTTGGAGTTCACGTGAAAAACTGACAACAGCGCTAAATGTTTACGCCCGCACTGGGGCTTACTACGTCAAACCGGGGTTGAGTGAAGGAGCGTCAGATCTCGACGGTAGTATAAGAGAACGTGGAGAATTGTTGTTGTTATAAAATAATCTGTTCGCGTGATATTTATCTCAAATATATAAAGTCAAGCATACAAACAAAACTGTTTACATTTCGAAAAAAAACACTTAATGCTAAACGCGTTTCGACCTCAACAGGTCATCGTCAGGTACAAACATTCCCTGCCAAATCAAAGCCTTCGAAATGCAAATCTCACATCGTACTTAAAATTCAATTATTAATTAAGGGAAAGATACGAGATCACCTTTACACAGCGTAGACAATTAATGACGCATGTAACATAATAACTAATTGTTATATCAACTAAACGCGATGTCTGAATGCAGAATGCAAATAAACTGAACTTTAAGTTTGTGACTGAAGTGAACGGCGAGACAGTGGACGATATCTAATATCACGCTTATGTATCTTATAGATTCAGGATGAATGTGATGGAACTATAGGTGGTGTAGACTGGAAGGGAGTAGCTGTTGTATCAAGTTCTAGACCTATTGATTAGTTCTGTCCGTCAGTACATGCCACAAGGCTAGGTAGGGGTCGCGTAGAGCGGCTAATGAGCACGTCGCATGGAACTGTGAATATGATCATTCCCAGTGACTGACTGAAAAGACAGGGAGTCGAAAACTAAATATTTTATCGACTGTTCAGCCGGGGACAGAAGCTTCATATCACAGTGCTCGTTCCAGAGGTTTCATTTCGCTGGTTTCGTGAACATATTTTCGTGTTCGGTGATGCACACGTAATAATTCCGATCAACATCACACGGCCAATAACAACAATAATATACTATCGTAGCAATTAATTTAAATTTTTTTCTAAAATCTACTATCTAACAAACCTTTCGGCAGGAATCCATGAAACGTGGTGTGGAAATAAACATATAATAGCTACTTGATGGTGCAGATAGCCTATTTCGGTGTTTTTGGGAATGTCTAGCCTACAGAATTTTTCTGAAATAACAACGAATCTAACCGATTCAATGTCGGATTTATAATACGAAAGAATCTTCGAGAACGGGTTAAAGAACAAATGTTGTCTTGTGTCCAAAACGAAATATTCCTTGAAACAAAAAAGGTATCGCTCACTTTTGACATAACAATTTACATTTGTACAGTTTTACAACAGTTTATTAATACGATGATGGAAATAACCTAAGACTCTGTATAGAATTAATTTCTAATTGAGTGAATTCAAAGCGAAGCCACTGGATTGCCACTCGTCTCTGTACAAAAAACAAAAATTAATAGAATCTACAATATTTTTTTTATCAAAAAAGAGTTATTTTAGGGGCTTCTAGACAAAGTTTCTATCACGATTAATTATCTGACAAGTTTATTTAGCTTCGAGGACGCGTTGTTTAATTCACACTGGCAGTTAATTATGGAGAGAAACTTTCCCGTCTCATCCAGCGTTTTCGTATTTCTCTCCTCTGTTTCGCATCAAATCACCGTTTTATCACAACACAAGCTTACAAATTATTGTTAATGAGTTTTAATAAGTTTTAAACCTCTAGTCTGTATAAACGATCAAATATCAAACATTTACAAAGGCAAATACGACGGGAAACAAAAATTCGAAACTCGGTAGAGTTGGTTCTCTCTGAATATTAGGTAATCAATAGTGACGGAATGCGAGCGAAAAAGGCTGTTTCTGGTAGCGTCCAATACGCTTACAAACGAACTTTAAATACAGTTACTTCTACAGGGTGTTTCATAAGTCCCTGTGCACGTAAGAACACAGCAGTTCATCGTCTAAGGAGCGTCTGGTCCAAGGAAGGTAATGGTTACGGTCACGCAGTCTCGTAACACACACGCAAGGTCAGGGACTTTCGATTTACTTCGTACTTTCAACACTTTTTCTTATAGGAAAACAGGGGCTTTTGAATCATCCTGTAAAACTGTTTCCTTCTACCTTCTTTCTGCGTGCGTGCATTTTAAGAGACAACGCCCAAGTTATACTACACTCATAACATTATATAACACGTTACCCACAAAACCTTCTTCCCTGTTCACCTATTTCTGGGGTTTGGGGTGGGAAACAAAGTGGGTTTTTTTTTCATATCAGTTAAAATTAAAAGTTAGGAGCTACTTACCTGGTTGCGAGGTCACGGTGTACGAAATTCAGGGTTTCGAGGTACCTCATACCAGAAGCGATCTGCGCAGCCATGTACAAGAGGCAGTTGAAACTGAAATAAGATAGGGCAGTGTCCGATTCTTATTCGCTTCCTGAGGAATTAAAGACGGCGTAAGACGTTTTCTCAAAGGGGATGTTCGAGATTTTCATAGCAGACCAGTACTGAACGTAATTATTGGATATTCGGTGCTTTTCGTAGGACATGAAAATGATCACGTTACAGTAACGTCCTATATTACGTGTGACGTCATCGGGACGGAATATCCAGGTTCACGTATAGCGAAACAGACGCGGCCTTGTTATAATTCTATCGGTACTTAAATTACGAATAATTTAAGGGGGTATCTTTTCAGCTGTTAACGTAATCATTTCGTGTATGCCCTCTCTGGAGTCAGCAGTTTAAAATAATTCACGCTCAAGTGCCCTGCGCACCCAAAAACTGTAGTTGTTAACACTCGGATGACAAACTAAGGCAAATATTCTGGGCCTGGCGTTCACACTCGAAATTTTATTTTTTTTGTTATCTGACGAAAATTATAGTTTCTCGCCATGATAAGCTGAAATTTTGTTACGAATTATTTGTTCGGTTGATTGTTTCGGATTGAAAATTAGGCAATGACTACGTGGAATTATACGTAGTCTTCAACTCTGAAAACGGAGCCGACACGTTCCTCAGAAATCGCAGATTTTACGCAGACCTACACATTTAAATACCATAAATGAATATATTTCTATCTTGTATATGACTTTACACAAATTAAGTATGAAATGTAGTTTTGAAAGTAAAAAAAAATAACAAAAACAATTCGAATGGCAGATCTATGAGACCATGAATTAGACCCACACCATAAACTGAAATTAAATGTCATCACAATATAAAATAATTCCCTTTTGCAAATTATGTAACCAGTTTTGCAGTGAAAGTTCACTGAAATGGAAGAAACAAACAGCTTTGAGAGTGGCTGCGATTTTACGAGAGAGATTTCCGTTTATAAATGAATTATTGTTTCGTGAGAGAGAAGGGGTAACTTGTTACCCACCCTTAACAGTCGGTTTAATTACAACGTAAAACATTTGAAGCACGAGGCTCGTGTACATAGTATCTGAAAATTCAGTTCCTACCACAAAGAAAGCGCAATGCGTCTCTATTGTAAAGATCAAATGAACCTCAGTCAGGAGGATAACTGGGCTCCGGGCCTGGATTTAAACCTACGCCTATCCGAATATGAAGCAGGAGTGCCAGTCACTCAGCATCACGATTCGTACCCGGAATACGTAATTATAAGCCTCACCTCAGGGTCTTAACGCCGACGGGCAAGGTACGCGCGCCATCGGCAGGCACGTGTGTCTTCAGGAACTGGTTGAGGTCGCCGTGGTCCAGGTACTCCATAACGACACACAGAGGCTCCTCGTGGCTGCACATACCTAACACTCGGGCGATGTTCACATCCTCCAGGGCAGCCAAGATCCGCACATCACGATGGAAATCCAGCCTAAAATCGAAAATCCTCTGGTTTTTAAAAGGGTTTCGAGGATCAGAAAATCTCATCCCATTAAAACCCATCGACAGTTCTTAGGCGATTTACCGACGTGAAGAAGCTTGTCACTAGCAGAGTCATAACACGTTAATTTATCCTTATTCCTACCCAGGAACACTTTTGAGGACCCCAGAACGTCCCATATGACGTAAACGGTGACGATATGTCTATAACACCGTCGTATGGGGCGAAATCCCCCTCCTAACAGTATAATTTTGGGCTAGGAGCCAAGACTGAAAAGTACTTCGCTCCGCTGTTATTTGAAAATGCCTATAAATCCCGTTATACTTGAACTAGTATGTCTTTACATCGCACGATACGCATTCAAGAGAAGTATATCATCGTAGAAAGTTTTACTGCTCCGTCATCTTGCATATTGAATATCATAAACGTATAAATAAATCACTCGATGAAGCAAAGTCCCTCAAAAGCTAGAAGTTACCACCTTTTGTAAGCCTCAAATTTTCAGTGCTGTAGAAACCGCCCTGACCCACGTGAATCCAGTTTACGCTCTCCAAACACAAGCAAACATTTGTACCGCGAGGGTTCTCATATTAAAAGCATTAATTCTTTCCTTCGACGTCTGTGCACGTAACAAGTGGCTGGCTATTTTCTCCGTCGGTTTCAGGTGTTCTTTACACATTGGCGTAACCGAAGACACACAATCAGCCCGTCAATGTCTATATTTCGCGTTTTTCATCACATTGTTACAATAAAGACCTACGATACCATTGTTAAAATGGCCTGGATGCTATTGTTGCTACGAGTATCACGCTGATACAACAATGACCCTGGATCGCACAGTCAAAACCGTGGCCTTAGGTGTCATTGTTGTCGCCCGCCAAGGAAAACTATAAATACCATCGAAATTTTAGTATACTCCAATCTTGATAAATTTAAAGCACAGCTGCTCTCTGTCCCTTGTTTCCTACAGAAACGTTTTTATGTTGTTGTTTTTTATTTCATGTGACGTCGATAAATAATACGCTTTTCCTGTTGAATACCCTGCATGTTAAATGGGTAATGCATCACGGTAGAAAATCGTGACTATAAATTTACACACAAGAAAAAAAAATCGACGCCATGACTGTACATGCACTATCGAAATGATTTAAAGCTGAACATTTCTTCCGAGTCCTGTGCATCGGCAAGACTCACAAAATATAAAATACATTTTTCATAAAGCACACGGTCCTTTTTTTCTCACCCACCCCTCTCTGTTGCTATCATCCCTTGTAAGAACGTACCCCTGCCATCTTACCGGGCCATAAAAATGTCTCCCTCATTCCAGCCCCTCACCATCTACACTTGAGTCACGCAATTCTGAAGTGTCAGAATATGAGAGTAATTATCAGAAGGCGCTCTGATTTATGCAAGGAGCGAGGTTAACAACGTGAGCTTGCATCTAATACAAGCTCTCCCCTGTATGTGCACAGGTTTACGTGTATGTCTGGCCATTTTTATTATAACTCCCAGAATCAATGTAAATACCGTCTTCTTGCGTTCAATCTCCTCCTTAAAATCTTTTGACGTAAATACGTCTATATGGAAGTGTCATTCGGCAAGGAAAGGAAAACGTGTAAGATCCATATCAACAATGTGTTAATATGGATCGACAACAATGGTCAGCTTGCGTGCATTGTTATGTTACCTAGGAAACGTCATCTGTTTACTCGGCATTGTTGTTAATATTGTTGTAATTAAAGCTAATATATAAACTTTCTTTCCGTATAGACGTATTTACGTCAGATTCTCCGGAACCGTGGTTCCACCGTCAACTTTTATGGATTCGGAGACAACGTTCTTCGTCGCTAGAATAGGTAGCGAGAATGTACGAACTCACTCCAGCGGAATTTTTGTTTATGTGTCGTTTTCAGTACATAAATCAGCGGTATGCAAATGTTTAGGCGGGAGAGATCGTTAAGGGCGGGCCAGCTATGAGATCATGAAATAGAATTGTAGAAAACCACTCAGTATTTCATTCTGATTCCAATGTCAAGTTATTTGTGATCTCCCTAAAGGAATCCGCGTGCTCAGAACACGATATTTCATTGTTCTTGTTTTCCGTCAATGTTTAAAACATATTACGACTTTCCAAACAGGTTAAGACATTGTTATAACTCCAGTTTTCCAAAAATTAAGCTCAGACTTCGAATAAATTTAAATATGATTTTTTTACGTAAATACGTCTATATTTTAGGGTCAGTGTCATTCCGCAAAAAAGTGTGACGAAAATGTGTAAGATGGTTACCTAGGAAACGCCATCTGTTTACTCGGCATTGTTGTTACCTATAAAACATTACATTACATTACATTCATCTACCACAGACCCATCTTAAGCGTAACTAATTCAAGTTAAATAAGCAAAGTCTTCATCAAACTTATCTCAATTGTACAGCATGTATAAAGGAAATATTTAGTATAAAGCCAATATATAAACTTCCTTTCCGTATAGACGTATTTACGTCTAATTCTCCGGAACCGTGGGTTCCACTGATACTTTTTTCGTAATTTATTCGACAGTAGAATAGTTTAGTCAGCAGACAAACAGTTGACAGCAGTCTAGTCCCGATGCTGAAGGCAGCAAGTACATCTGAAACGTCGGAAAACAGACTACACTACATCGCTGATGACATCTTCAACGCGGAAGCTGTGACCGAAGACGCGATTGAAAGGCGCGTTCTGAAACTGAATCCGGCTGTAAACGGACTGCGGGTTTCTGATCGATAGAAGTCTAGGGGCGCCTCGAGCTACCTGATGTTACGGTCTCAGAGCTAACGTTTCTTTTTTACTCCCTCCTTACTATCATCAATCTCTCTTTCACACACACGAATCTCCACACTAAAAGAAAGGAAGCAGGATACAACCCAGCCCAAACCAAACCTGATGTCATGTGACAGATAAGAGGCCTTGCTAAGTGTTACTGACCTCGATTTTATCGGTAAGATTTGAAGTTAACACCCTGGACCTCGAAGGCGTTTGCTTATTAGATTAATGTTTATTGTGTGTCCTAGCCTTAGTACGAGATCCTCCCCGCAACCTCGGCTGTGGGGGGGGGGGGGGGGGGCACGAATGTCTTGTTTAAAATTACTTTTACGTACTTTCGTTTCGTGTTGAAAGTTTCGACCTCACAAGTACATGGGTGGAACGTCTCTAACGATAGTTGTGACATTCACAAAATATTACGACAAATTAGAAAAGCGAATGGAGAAGTTCTGCGATTTTGGATCGAAGGGCAGAAGCCCCTGTTCATTTGTCTTTCTAAACTGCTTGTCTCGTAAGTTCGGGGTCATATGGAGAGTCGGTTATTTGGCAAAAAGACGGAGAAATTTTATTGCAAATCTATTTAGACAGGTTTTCTTGACATGTTGCGATAACTTCGTACTTACTTTTCTCTCTCGCAGGCATCATGCAGAAGAAACTTGACGGCCACGAGTCTCTTCCCGAGGGATGCTGCAGATCCATATTCTGGGATTCCATCAGCTTCTGCCACGTACACCTGGAACAGACAGGTAAGACGGTGATAAATGATGTTCTCTAGGTCGCAAGGGTATACACAACTTGCGCTGGTGGCACGCTCTGGTGCGTCTCTCCGGATACAGCGCACAGAGGAATAAGTAACCGTTTGAAGCCGAAACTCATCTAAATAATAAATCCCTTACCAGAAAGAAACCCATGTCTCTGCTAGGAATATCCGTCGGTTAATGTTCTTTTGGGGTCCGCAGTGACCGCGCGGTCTGAGGCGTGGGCCTTGTGCCGCTTGGTCGCTGGGACCGTCGGTTCGAATCCCACTCAAGCCATGGATGTCTGTGTTGTGCTGTCCTGTGTACAGGTAGAGGCCTTGCGACGGGCCGATCCCTCGTGCAAGGAGTCCTACCGAATGTCTATAGATCAAGCCAACGAAAAGTTGGGACCCGCAGTGCTCAGGCACTTGAAGAACGGGTCGTTCCCAGTATCCCAGTAATGTTCTTTTACGAAAATATTAGCCTATTAGGTGCATCATAATAAATATTTACAAATTCACATATAAACATTGTCTATATAATGATGGATTATGAAAGGCGTTAAATCTTCATTGCAACGAATCAGATGTCGTAGAGTCTACGACGTAGACTCATGCATTCTTCGGTAAAGTCGTAGTTTTAAAATATCTAGATGGTGGAGTTAAAAGAGAAACAATTTTACAAAACGGATCTGACTTCAACAGAATTGATCTTGAAGATAGTTGTCTTCTGTATTGCATCCCTGTGCAGACTGGTAGACGTTTGCCGACGTTTCAGAGGTGCTTCCTGCCTCATTGCCATGATCAGCTACACACGATGTGTAGACAGTGCGGACGAAAATAATAGTTGCGTGTATATCTCTTTTCGGACACCCTGTATAAATGATTCTTTCTGCAGAAGCTGTTTTCGCCACTCGAGTGCGAACTAATTAAAACAGCGGCCATCTCCATGAGTTCGCACGTCGCACCATCCACACGCGTTCTTTCACATGTCGAATACATCACCATTAAAGTAGCCCATCTATTTTTTAGCGAATGTCTCACTACTGTGGGCGATGATTGCAGAACCATCTGGTAACAGTTCCTGAACCTCACTATTAACGGAAGTATCCCTTTCGTGAGCATAGTTAAACCGAACAAATGCTGTCCTGTCTTTAGCTCGTTTATCTTCGTTTATCTTCGCACGGAAACTAGCTTCTCTGTTGCTGCTATTGGTTCGCCTGTTACTCCAGCCGAACGAAGTAGAAGGAAAGACGTATTCAAAAGGATAAATAGCTTAATATAAAGGGTGATTTAACTTATGAGAGAAATTAATGTTATGTTGGGATTTAAAAGACATAGGAAAATTCCTATATAAAATTAAATATAATTATGAGAATAAAATTAGGATATAAATAAAAAAATCGAGAACACGAAGAACACGAAGAACAAATTGTCACAAGATAACGTAATATGAAGATGGTTGTATTTTGGGTCGTTCATATCCCAAGCAGTCGTCAGTGTATACAAAACATGCAGGTTTAATTTATTGGCTCAGTTTCCTTGGGTTTGCTTACCTGTTGACAGCACATGCGTCCATTTCTTTGATTCCACCATACGATTATTACCATCGGCATGCATGGGTGTGTCCTCCCTTACACTAGGTCTATCGGGGAACAGCTGTAGGGCTGAGTACCAATGGAACTGCATTCCAGTTGTTTCAGTAACAAACTATTTAGAGCAACGCCCGTTTACGGACTGGAACAATTTGTTCATGTCCGTTCTCATTCTCTCTTACAACACGGAGACGACAAACCTTTATAAATTTAAATATCTTAAATATAAAAGCAAGAACAGGAACTCTAGATAATGCATGGTATGAAAAATCTTGTTTCTTCTATATGAGAAAGTAATCATTAGAAATTAACGCTTTGGAGTAGAATTCGTCTTGAAAAGGCACAGATTCGCTGACCTGGTGGTTCATTATCGTGTTCAAGGGAGCCCGCTACTTGTCTCTATCTAGAGGCAGATTAATCCTGTTCATCAAACACTGCTTCCTAAAATTGCTTTTAATATTATCACCATTTTGTAACAATTATTTAAGGTGTACTTCTATCATGTCATCAGCAATGACGGAGGCAGTATGACCTCCGAAACGTCGGTAAACATCTACCAGACTACACAGCGCAACCCAGAAGACAGAAATCTTCAGACTCATCGCCGTGAAAATCTGAAACCATCCCCGCCTGACACTTCCGAAAACAAAAACGTGTTGATTTTGCCTGATTCTAACCAAAACCGGAAAATGTCAACAAATCTTTTGAAAACCCCACAGATATAACATTTACAAGAGATGCTGAGAAGCATCCGTCCGAAAATGTGTTAGTCGGTGTATTGTCTCGGCGGAACTTCGTTGTCAGAGTACGCACTGCGAAGTGTTGTTCGAGAATGAACACGCGTTCTTCTCGTGAATACACCTTGTCCGTAGTTGGACATCTTTTGCGTATCTGGCGTGAGTAGCGGCCTAGCTACCAGGGTGACCTTGACTCGAGTTTAATATGGTCCTGCTCGTGATTTCGTTTCAAGTTCAACAAAAAAATGACGACGTGCGACTCACCGTGCCGAATGCGCCCTCAGCCAGTTTGGACAGCATTCGGAGCCTGTGTCTGGGAAACTCCGGCACTGCGGTTTGTTCCAGGCGTCGCTTGAGGGCGCTCAAAACCTCCTGCTGGCTGGGAGACTGCAACACACGGAAAACTGGCTGATTAGAAGAACTAAGAATAACATTATCCGCGCTTTAAAATATGTTGCAAGACAATCTGAAGGGAAGAGATGACTTTCGAAACCTAGACGCATACGGGAAGATAATATTAAAATGGATTATACAGAAATAGGAAGTGATAGTGTTGATTGGATGAATCTAGCTCAAGATACGTACAAATGACATTATCGTTTGGTAGCTACATTTCAAAAGCACACAGAGTCTAGAGCTATATATTCACATTTGATGTATTTTATGAAAAAATAAAACACGTGACCCTTTTGAATCGGTGTTACAAGCAAAGAATTTTAATGATCACTGCTTACGTTTACAGTAACTTGCAATGAATCATTTAGTATTTTTTAACAGCTCTAAAGTTCGCGTGGTTGCCATGTTACAGGTTAAATAAGATTAATATAGTGAGGTGCGATTAATCTCTAAAATATTTTCATATTGAATTTCATGGGAAAATGCCTTTTAAAAGTTTTAACAAACATTATTAATGAAAGTACTGCCGTAGAATTAACATACCGAACTGCGGTGTTCGCTCCATTGTTCAGTGTTAACGCTGCTCATACTGCACGTAAGACAGAGAAATTTTCATAAGATAGTGTAGTTGCGTCATATTGTGACTTATTAAATTAAAATTAAATTATTTGGTTATTCCGTCAAATCACAATGTATTTAAAATAAGATAATTAAAATAATTAAAATATCATTCTGTGTTCCATATCGAATAATCGATTTACAATTGGAACAGTTACAACATGTTTCGGTTTTATTAAACCATCATCAGGTGTAAAATTATATTAAATTTAAAACTCAATTACAATTTTTTACAATTTTTTCGTAGTGTAGTTTTGGAGGTCGTGTCCAGATATTTTCATATGAATTGTAAAAAATTGTAATTGAGTTTTAAATTTAATATAATTTTACACCTGATGATGGTTTAATAAAACCGAAACATGTTGTAACTGTTCCAATTGTAAATCGATTATTCGATATGGAACACAGAATGATATTTTAATTATCTTATTTTAAATACATTGTGATTTGACGGAATAACCAAATAATTTAATTTTAATTCAGAGAAATTTTATTTTATGCTATAGTAGTCAGCGGAGCATGCGCACAGTGTGTCATGCTTACCTCCCCCCCCCCAAACCCCTTCTTTAAGACGCCAAAACAAATGACGCAAATAATACATTTCTAGGTGTGCAATAACCTCGGATTATGTCACTGCAAATATTAATTACGTACAAGTTGCAACAACTCACAAACATTTACTTAGAACGAGTCAAGCACTTACACGATACGTCTACTGTTATTAATTTTCAACTTCCCGAGACTCCAAAGCCCTCAGACTTGTTATTCGCATAAAGTCTAGAAACTGTCTTCTTCAATTGCACTACAAACGTTACGTGAAGTTTCATGGCAATTAATTCCACGTATACGTAACATCTTGGTTGAAATGTGTTAGACTACTAGGTAAATAGAAACACGAAATGATTATACGTCCATTAGTTTTTTTAAAAACACATTTAATTCATGATTAAGCACCGGTTTAAGAATTAAGCCCCTGACTTAAGTCCAGAAGGTTCTTGCTTGGACAGGGCGGTTTTAGATGAATATAGACCAGTGGTGGGGACGGAAACAAACCTTCAAATTCACTGCACAAAAATTACATACAGTGATTTCATTACAAGACAATCATTTTAAAAAAAACCTAGACCAATTCTTATGCCTGTCTTCCTCTAAAAGACTTACTTTTCGCCTGTGTGACTGTTGAAGTGATTATTCTCGCAAACAATTCTACGATGAAATCGTATAGTCCGTTTCATCTAACAGGCTTAGCGACTCACATATTGATTCCCTAATTCTGAGCCTCGTAGATTCAATTAAAACATTTAAATGTACATCAACGTAGTTACCAAGCGTCTGAAAATCCCCCACTGGATACCGCTTAAAGACGATAACTTGAAACAATCACACACCGCGCTTTTCATTCGTTCTGATGATTAAAGATTAATCTCGTATAATCATCCCTTTATGTCATAATGCTCCCTCCCCTCCCCCAACATGTGATGTGTGTACAGCCTTTAACTGTGTTCGCGTGGGCGTGAAAAGATGAAAAATACACGCATATTGTTTCATTTATACTAGAAACACACACAAACACAACGCATTTCAATGTTATCCATTGTTTCTCCCCTAGTTCCTTTTGTGAAATTAATTAGTGAGGCTCTTTGTGGTTTCTGTAGCAGTCTTCCCCTTTTCCACCCAAAACTGCCCGCCATTTTCCCTGCTCGACGGTCCAACAGCTGCGTGTAAGTCAGCCTTGAGCTACACCACCTTTCACGTACAGCAAACAGGTTAATTGTATTAATTACGAGGATTTGAAGCAAATTAACTGCACTGCATCAGTAGCTGTTGGTGTCACAAGTGATACGTCATCGTCAAACAGCGCCAAATGCAAAATATCGGGGACATTCCTCGAGCGATGTAATCCAACGCGGTCTGTAGCTTACAGTCGATAATAACTTAATTCTTATACACGTAATAAATGATAACTGATTTTAAATTAGTTAATGTAAGTAAGATTTATAACATGAAATTAGTAACTCACTTTCTTGCCTTTCGAATCTTCTGACTTGCTTCCCTTGGAACTGGAGCCCTTGGAAAAAACGCTGTCCTTGTCGCTGGGAGCGCTTGCAACTACGGGAAGTGGTAGTGTGTTTTCCGGGCTCAGCAAAGGTACCGTTCCCATTTCCGGTACGGCGTAGTCATATGACGTATCTGTGCAACAGGCACAGGCCACAGATAACAATTGAGATGCGTTATTTTTACGGGCTTTGTAGAATTTTATTTCAATTCATCGACGATTAAAATAGTAAATCCCAGTGCACAGAACACAGACGTACAAATGTTATGGCGTGATTAATAACGGGCTTTCCTTTAATAACGCCACACCTACGTATACGAGATTGAACAACAGATATGCCGATACTAAATAATATTTAGAGTAAATGTATTCGTTGTGAATACATTTGGTGAATGTCAAAGAGAGAGATTAACAGGAGGCGAGATGAACCTCGTAGATTACGTAACATTATAGACATGTATGGATTGTCTAAAGATAATTATCGATTTATTTCGTAATTTCTTACCGTCAGGTATTAATAATAGTCCTAACGTAAATATTTGACAGAAACCTATTACAGTAATGACATTCTGAAACGATTATAAAAAAACACAAATTAAACTTGAATCCTATCTTGTAAACAGATGACGTTCTGATCTGTAAAGATGATTATAAAGCTAGTTTATAATGTTTTAACGAGATCTTCAGTGAGATCGACAGATAATCGAATTCTCGTATCGTAATTTGTATAAAGTAACAAGCAGCCACGAGATCTGTTAGCACAAGGGAATGAAAACTTGTGTACGCGTTTAGACGGAATCCCCAAGATCTACGATCCACACGTACGCTTGACAAAACAGTGTAGTGCAGGTTGCTGTGATTCAGTATTCCCCATTGCTCTGCCACGAAGCGTTCCGTTCTGTTCTCGGAACAAGACATTCCACTTTGGTAATTAAATACTGGAGAACCACCTCAATGGCAGCCGTCATATCATTTCCCCACACCTAAAAGCACCTAACGCCCTTTCACAAAGTTTCACGGGAGTTTGTTTGAAACGTGTTTCCGAGAGCGAACTGCAATGCGTGTTCGCAGATACTGCAAATTTGTATCTCTCAAGAGCACAAAGTAATTTTACTTGGTTATAAATAACAATGGTATAATACGATTAATTTTAAAACAACAGTTCAGAGCAATTATTCGAATATAAATTCGAAGTTCTCATAACAGTTACATAATTAATATTATGTTCGATATTTTTAATTGTCTGAAGTATGCCTGATGTACACGACGTTTCGGTAGTTAGGGTATTAAAATAAATACAATTGAAACGTATCATAACAACGAGTCAACTATGGATCACCTCCCATATATAACAGGTCTTCCAAATGGTCTCTTCCATTTTGGATCTCATATCAACATATTTTATAAATTTCCCTCCTCATACCAGCGTAACTCACGCTCCTTGATTTAAACATTACAAAATATTTGGCGGAGTATAAATTTCGTCATTTATCTTTCTCCATATTTCGTCTGTCCATCTCTCTTGGTTCCAAAAATCCTTCTCGTTCTTAAAACAGTGACAGTTGGTAAGACTGTGGGGGGACGCACCTGACTGCGTGGCGGAGCACTTGTTCAGCATGTCTCTCATCTCCATGACCACGGTGCTGTACGAGTAGTACGGGGCATACTTCAGCGCTTGGTATGGTTCCTGGTATTCATCAAGTTTGATGTCGATCACGTGGTCCATCAGCAGCATGCTGCTCGTCTTATCCGTCCCTGGTGGTGGAGGTAGCGTAGACATGGTTGTAGAAGCCATGGTTCCTGCCCCTGGAGGCATGCCGCCCCCACAACGCGCAGACTGGTTGTAGTTATCATCCACTTCCTTGACACTGTAGGACCCCATTGTGGTGCCCTTCTCCGCCGTTCCACAGCCGCTGCCCGGAGGGAGGTGCTGGTGGTTGTTGGAGCCGGGAAGAGCTGGCTTGGAGGTCAGAGGGCTCGCGAAACACTTCCTCTGACGATGACGCGAGACGATCAAGTATATGGCGACGGCGAGTAGTAGAATGACAGCCATAAGAACACCGATTATGACGGCCATGTAAGTGTGATCTTCGTCTCTTGCGGTTGAAACTGTAACTCAGAGAAGACCAAATGGTAGCATCGCCGGAGAGACTGAATAAACATAATGAAGGCTGTGTACATGAAATACGTGAGGCGTGTTACTTGGTGCAAGATCTCATCAAGCTTCCTTAACCGTTACACACAAATCTGTGGCCGGCCAGTCAGCCGACGCACGGGAAATAAAAATGCGTCTAGCTACCATCCCGTCCATCCCAGTGACACAAACCTTCAGATTAAGTTCATGGTGAAATCCAGACTCATGTTTTCAAAACCATACACACCTGGTAAGCCACCCTGGTTCGTGGCATGTTTCTTCTCGACATACACGTCACTCTGTACCGGTATGTCCGGAGACGGTGGCGTCTCCACCGAGAAGTTTCCGTGGGCAACATCTGAAACAGGACACAGTATCAGCTACCAGTTTTAAGTCCTGGTGTATAACATGTTTGTTTAATATTTTATAATTTAAATAACAACAATCTTAAAACCTTGCATACCGTGCAGTGTATTGATATATAACATCAACATGTCACGAGCCGCGCGTGTAGACTTCTCGGCTTCAATTCTGATCGCATCCCCGGGCTAGTCTATGCTAAATTTCGCGTCTTATATCGGTGTTGCGGCAGTTAGCGTATCGACGCACTTCGTCGGTTTACCAACAACGTGCCTTATCTGCAATTCTGAGTCGGCGTTGCGACGAGATGAGTCAAGGCGTCGGGTTTTCCAGCGGTTTTCCTGGACTCACGTTCGCTGCCGATGGTATCTTGCGTACGCGTTGTAAAGACAGGCATTGTTTTCCCATCGTCCTGGGCTAATGCACGCTGTTAGCCCTAGTTAATGTAATCGTCTTACCGTCGTTCTTCTCTTGTGGTTGAAAACTTCACCAGGATTCGAACCCAGGACATTTTTCGGTGCTGCTTAGCTTGTTTCTGTAATATCCTCTTCGAAGCAAACAACCCTAACTTAGGCGCAATTTTTTCTATTGTTCTTAGTTCCCGGGCTAAAAGAAACGTCCTCACAGTCTTTTCTGTAATTACCCTCCTCAATTCTCTTCTTTGTCTCAAGGAATACGCATGCAATGTTTGATGCAAATCAGTATATCCATTCCGTGAAGGATTCTGCACCATGGAGTAAGTTGGTCACTCAAACGTTCATCGTAGATCAACAAATAACATCTACGGATGGGATTTCTTCAGTAACTATGACACTATTGCCTTCCTCAACTGCTGTGTTTGGACCAATTCGTCTGTCGCCATTTCTCATCATCACACATTTACTTGACCAAAAATCTGTCCTCATTCACACTCATTCCACTTTCCTTCTCCTTGGTATCCGTCGCTAAAAGCACTTCGCCATTCAGAAGCCGTCAGTGGGCTTGTTGACACATCTTTTCTGCCTTCTGATCGCTCGCTCAAACTCCTGTTTAGTTTGAAAGAAAGAGGATAAGAATACAGCAGATGGATGAAGGAAGAGGCGTTTAGAAGCTGCCACTGTGATGTTTGACTTCTCGCTAACTCGTTGTGCTTCGAGCTGACATTCCGCAAACACCACCCTGATATCAAGGCAGACGGCTCGTGGCAAATCCAACGGGGGCGTTTCAGACAACACTCATTTGTTTCACAGTTCAAGGCCGTGCAGTTCAAAATCGCAATTAGGGCTGTATGCAAATTTCAATCGAGTTTTGACGCTTTCCTTTATGAAGTATACACCTCGTATGCCGTGACTCGGGTCTGTCTGCCATCCACATCGTGACATGAAACTTCCTACGTATGTTTCTGATACGTCTTTGAGTGAAATTAGACTAATGAACGTGATATTCTATACAAGGCATAGCTTCAAAACATCTTTTAAGCTATGTGAAGTCAAGAATTTGTTACAACAGTTGGGTTTTTGAGGAGTGAAGTGGATTCGTCTGACTTTGGACAGGAACCAACAGCGCCCTCTTATGCAATGAAACATCGGGGAAATTATTGAAAAGCTGAGTGACTATCAGCTTCTCGATAAAGCCTCTGCTACATGGATGTAGTATTTTAACATTCATTTTTTGATCATAATGTAAATAGTTAAAGGCATTACTAATTCGGAGCACTTCTGTATGAGAAAACGTGTCAAACATCAAAGTTGGCAATCAACGGTAATAACATCACCGTTGTAGCAACTGTTTTACTGGTAGTTCAGAATGCCAAACGACTGTCTGCTGTTTCCCACACGATGATTTCTCCTCGTAAACTATTGTAAACGGAGGCTGAGAAGGCAAAATCTTTCTCCCTTAAAGAAGTTACAACCGGAAACACTTCCACATGCAAGCCGTGTTTGTTGACCTGACTTTTTTAACTTCTGCGTAAGTTCAGAGCTTCCTGAGAAAACAGAGAAGTCAAATCAAAGAATATATCGAGCCAGAATGTAACTTTAGTAATGTAAAAAATGCATCTTAGATTTCGTGCTTCCAATCTGAGATTCAAATGCGGTTTACGTTCAAAGTGCCAAATAAAACGTCAGGTTGTTCCCACTTGCAATAAAATCTAAAGATGTGTTGACCCGTTAAAGACGCGTCCATTTCAGAGACTCAAAGTAAATTTCCAACTTATAATAGAAATAGGATATTTTATTTAAGCCGTGGTTTCTAAATTGGCTTTCGCGTTGTGTGACCCAGTTAATCTTTGCCAGAGCTTTCCATTCTAACTGGTGTTTCGGAAAAGTAAAGCTAAAATCACCAGGTACATTCATTATGCAGGCAAGTGACTAGTTATTTAATCTCGATATCGTAAACGTAAACTAAATATTGAGACTTTTAAATGTATTTTAGTTGGATTTGATTTAAGGACTATTGAACTTAGAGGTCTGTTACTAACTGTTATGTATACACCTACTTTGAGTAATTTGACAGGCTTTGATGGATGTGATCCTAACTAATGTCTGATTTATGTATTTAGCAGGAATATTATATGATTTGCTTTTTACTGAACGGTTTAAATCAAATTTACGTCATTTTCTTAAACCAAAATAATTTAATAATAATCGGGAATAAGTGATAGAAGGTTTGATAAAACTGTACAATGACAACTGAATATCTTGTTCGGTAATGTGTGGAGCCCGAATGGTGGAGATGAGAAATGCGTACAAAGTTTTGTTTGGAAATCCTGAAGAGAAAAGACCACCCTGAACACATAGGCACAGATCGGAGAATAATATTAAAACGAATATAAAGGAAATAGGGTATAAGGTCACGTTATGAACCATGGCTACCTCTTGTGGTCAGGTTATTAAATAATAAAGTTTAATAAGGGGCGAGGAATTTAATGATCTGCTGGGCGAATATTAATATCTAAAGAATAATCCTGATGCGTGTAATTAGTTACTTATACCAGGATCATAATTGTGGGCTGAGTATGGACGTTTGACTCTGTATAGCAACAGTGTTCAGTCTTCTTAGGAAATGGAATAGTTTTGCCTTGAAAGAGCGATTTGCAAATCGACTGACACTACTTGCCTACCGGCTACAACGTAAACGAGGGGCAAATACCTGAGAGCGTACCTCCCCAGCACAATGGGGCGAATTCCCGAGTAACATGCCTGGCCTTCTATTCTGTAGGTCGGGAATTCAGTATTCGCCATTCCGGTCATAACACTTGCAATTTTCCGCCCAGCGTTCACCTACTAGCATAGAAAAACGAACGCGGATCCTCTGTAACCCCCTCACCCCCTTATCCGATCCCAGCAACCCTCTCTGATATCAATGGCATTCATGCGCCTTTGTTGTTAACAAATTCATGACATAGCTCCTTCCGTCCCTTTCGTCATTCGGAAAGTATGCAACAGCAACATATTCCATTCCCCGTAAAGTTGGATCCACCCCCCACCCCCAATTTCTTTAAACTCTTCTCTCTCGTTATTCACGCATGAATTCTGGCGCTGCATATTTAAATTCGAGAGGGAAGAATGCTCGAAACGGGGACACACCTCAACCCTAACCCTCTAGCCCAGGTGTACAGTTATAATCCACCCATCCCTGTCCGCATGGGGTGGAATCCTTTGTTGCTTCGTTGCAGTTGTAAGCAAGATACGTAAATCGCATTCAAATCGCCACAGCTTCACATGTTCAAGGTCAGCAAACTAACTACCCTGCAGATAGAAGAGTGCTTCAATTAAATTTGTCATCTTCGGGGTGTTGATTCGCTAACGTAAGAATAATAATTAATATGAAATTTTCTGTCCTCTGGGCTGTTGTGCCGTGTAGTCTGGTAGATGTTTACCCACGTTTCAGAGATGGTTGCTGTCCGGGCGATCGTTCTGAGGCGCACGGTGAAACAGCCCAGACGACAGCCATCTTCAAACTCCCCGCCATAATAACATTTAATAAATAATTTTGCTGTTCTGATCTAGCTTAATTCAAACTATTTTTAAAACCCACAGCGATGGATAGTACGGGCACTCAAATTCACTGAAAACCGAACACAGGCCACCCAGCGAGGTGCTATTTTTAGAATCTATTGCAACCACGTGTTTTGTATTAGGCCTACGTCTCTACAGTGTGCCTTAAGATTCTTTAACATTACGCGTGTCTTGTTTTATGGTTCCCTGTGTCACTCGCTAGCATTCGTCTTCGTCACCTATCAGCCTTTACCCTACTCCCTCACGCAGAGCTAATATATAAAACTATGTTACGTTTTAAATCACTAAGGTTTCCTTCACCCTGTAGAGAATTTTAAAAAAATGTTTTATGAACGTGCCCTGTGATGTCTCTTCCTTTCTAATATTATTAATGCACTTTAAATTAATTTTATTCTAATATCCCCGCACTTATATCACTTTACTTTTGAAACAATAGACTGTATCAGTCTAATGAAAGGGATAACGCACAATGATAATCGAACGTATACGTCAACCTGCCTCATTCCACTACAGAAATTCGGAATTACTCGTGCCAAATACTTCGATTTCACTGTTCCCGATTCAGTATAACAACCAGCCACAAATACAAACGTAACGTAAAATAGTCAACCAAATAACCACTGTACTGTTAATTTCAGGAACTCTCCCCTAGAGACTACACGTTTCACTTTATTTTTATAATAACTACAACAGGTAGCATTACCTCTATTACAACATTTCGGAATAACTGTTTCTAATTAAAATTCCACCGTCAAGATCCTGAGTTCCTACTTCCAACAGCTATATTTATATATTTGTGTGTGCGTGCACAGAGAATGAGACAGAGATAGGGAGGTTTTCCAAATTAAATACAAAATCCTCTCTCGCTGCGGATACATAGGTTTATTTTCCAATTCCGCTCGAGTTCAGCTGTACTAATTACTTTTCCTTTGGCTCTGTCCACAGTCAAGCAGCGGTTTTCAATATTGAAAACGTAAAATAACCTCCTTCAGGAGAAAAG